AAGCCCGGCGATAACGAAGTAGAGGAATTTCATCTATGGACTGTGGACGAAGTGAAGAGGGCGTTAGCAGAAGGGCAATTCAAGCCTAACTGCGCCGCGGTGCTTCTGGACTTCTTCATCCGACGTGGGATACTGACAGCAGAGAATGAGAAGGATTATACGGAGATCGTTTCGAGGCTCCATAGGAAGCTTCCATTCCCAACATCATAGACCTTGCAAATGATAATTCCACTGAAAAGGCATCGATCTCTCCTCGATACCCTAACGCCAGCGCTCTACTTGGGGAATCATTCCATCTAGACATCCTCAAACTCCGACCTATGTTTCGCTAAATGACCAGACTTTTTCCTTTCCAGCCCCACTCGCTCCACCATCCGCCAATGCCCGCGTCATTTCTTCATGCAAAGATAAACATAGTCTATCCTCAGCGGCGTAAGGTTCTTATACGGTCCCTCCATGTAGAGCAGCAACCCCCCAAACGACACAAACACCTTTCTGCGCAAACCCGCACCGCATTAGCCAACCCCCCTTTCCATCCCACCCCAAGACACAAACTCACATATTCTCATCATCCCCCTCCTCAAACCGATAAATCTTCCCATGGCACACGTAATCATACTCGTCCGCCACGCTCGCCTCCCCCCTCCCGACATCCCGCCACCCCTTGCCGTCGTCCTTGCTGCCGTCGAGCGAGAGCGTCGACGCGAGCAGGATCTGGAGGCGGTCGCCGATGGTGCAGGGGAAGAGCTCGGTGTTGACGTCGAGGGTGAGGGAGGTGTCGCCGTTTTCGGTGTGCGCCGCGAGGCGGGCCACGCGGTCGTACTTTTGCGCGTTGATCGAGGTCAGGGTGAAGGTGTCGGAGAAGAGGTTCGCGTCGCCCATAGCTTGGGTTGGGGTGGGGTGGAGTGAGGTGAAGTGTAGGAGTGGGGTGGGGATTGGGGGGCGGGGGGTGAAGTGGGTGGAGGGATTCTTCTCCGGCGGTGATATCTTTTGCGTGGAGCGTGGAATGTCTTGGCGCGTTTTTTGTGATAGGGTACTAAACTTATCTGGGAAAAGCGGGTGTTTTTCTCATCTTGAAGAACTTCTTAATTAAAGCCTCTACGAGAATTGTTGTGATATAATGATTACTCGTCTGATACCATTCTACATAAGTAAAAGTTATTTCCAATCAATTTCTCAATTCGAACCTTTGTAACTCGTATTCGAAAACATTATAAAAGATAATAGAAAAATCTATCGATGGAATTTAGAATACATTATCATTTTTAAGAATATATAAAATCGAAGTCGTATCAATAACCTTCTATAATAGTGTTATAAAATTCGCTCTAATATACGCTTCGTATTTTATTATATACTCGATGCTCCTCCATAGATACCCCCGTAGGCCTCCTCTACCTACCATCAGGAGTGTTAGCAACTCAGCTAAAAAAGCTGGTTCCGGGGGTGTCTGCGCTTGACAGTCAGACACCCCTATTTGGACCTAAATACAGGCCTCCGTAGGGCCTTCGCAGGGGCCCCGTAGGGCCACTGCTAACAAGGAGGTAGCATAGCCTTGGTTTCACCTCTTGCAGCAGCAATCACCACTCCGCCACAAATCGTACAAACAGGACAAAAGTCGAGAACTGATAGATTAAGATGTCAATGGTTGGTTCTGCAGGGTTTCTGGAACCTCAAGAATTTTGGCGTGGGAGTATTCTTATCGCCAATTTCGTGATGTCTGCTAAGATCCGGAAAGGCTGAGGCCAACCGCGTTATTCCATCATCGTTGCACATATTGCATCATCACCCCGAGCCGATCTTTCCCACTCGTCTTTTCGGGAGCCTGACCCCAGAGTTCCTCTGTCGGGGGAAATTGGCACGGGGTCGTAACGGTGTTACGGAAAGCACTCCTGCAGTTCTGGCAGCCTAGGTGACAGTAGTAGAGGTTGCGGATTCGGAGCCTGCCTTCGAGAGTGGCGCTCGCAAGGCCAGCGGCGTGGGTTTTAGAATGACGCGGACACAACCCCGGTTGAAGTAGACCAGTCAGAAAGATCAAGACATGATTGATTTTCCTGCGAGATTGGCCTGGATATACCCAAATGGGGTCATGCATTACACACTGCCAATTTGTCAACGACCATGTTCTGGAACTGTTCCAGATACGTCTGCAGCTGCTTTTGCTGATCGCCCGCTTCCCTCTCCCAAAGGTTGTCAAAGTCCCTGCTCAAACAAGACCTGACCGCATCCCGGTATCGCGCGCCGGTGTATTGCTTCATGGCCATGATCGTGCCCTGTTCCACCATCCTCTCGACTAGCTGCGGATCCGAGTTGTGGGTAGGCAAAGACGGTCTTCTCGGATGGTTGCTCTTGGACGAGCCTTGAAAGGCGATATTTCGCCACAGGCCGATTTCGTAGAGGATCACACCCAGACTATATATGTCGAATGATGGCTGAAATGAGCGTGCGAACATACCCTTGTAATGTGGATGCCGATAAAGATCATCTTCGAAATGGGACAACGGCTTCTCTGACACCTCTCCCGGTTGGTTTGGTCTCGAGATGTCGAAGCCCATCAAATATGGTTTGCTGAGATCTGGTTCAATTCCCTCATCAGGTTTTGGCCAGAAAAGGATATTTTTCGTTTGTATGTTCTTGTGCACCCACCCAATGTTGTGAATGTTAAATATAGTCGTGACAAGTGCTTTGGCCAACTCAAACCGCTCACCCAAGTCAGGAATATCTTTACGTTGATCAGGACGCTCTACGCGTTTCAACAGATCGTAGAGCGTAACTGGTTTTTGGCCAGGTTTGGCACCACTGGGCAGCCGGAAAGCGTAGCCTGTGACATGTTGACTCTGGTTTAGATAGCCAACACAGTGTAGGATTGAGAGGCCCAACGGTTCGAGATCGCTGTTCAAGATCCTTGTCAGGTTCTCCGTCCTGCGTTGGAATGCTTTGGGATGCTTTCGCCTCCAACTGTCATCTTGGCAGCACCTCCAGTCAACGATGACGCTTTCCTCCCCATACCGAGCCATTGCTCGAATTTGATCCGTCGCATACGGTTTCTCTTGCCACTTTAGCTGGTCCATCTCGAGCCTGTATCCAGGTGACGGGGACGTTCCGATGCACTGTCCGTCGGAAGAAGGAGTGGTAACTACCATTTCTGGTGGACAATCTGGCTGCTCGCTGAGATAACCTTGCTCAATAACTATCCTCGCCGCAGCCATTAGCTGTATGTCTCGATGCTCAAGTAAGTCCGCTGCTGCCTCTAAATGCCGAAGCTGTGTGGTGTCCGAAGTCGAGAAGAAAGTTCTTAATCGGCGACGTGACGAATCCTGGTCTAATCGCGAGGTCAACTGATCAAGGCCGTTGTTCCAATAGGAAAGTTGTGTGACTAGATCCTTCATCTTTTTCTGCTTCGTCAGGACAAACTTCACTCTCTTCGTATAGTTTGAAAGCCCGTGTTTTGATGGGGACTTCGTTGACAGAGACAAGCGATTGATATATTCGAAAACTGATGCGACTTAAGCATGTGGTATCTCGTTCATGGGAGACGCTTTTTTGTTACCTGAAGATTCGCCTTGGGCTGGTAGACCCATCTGTTGGCCATAGTCATCCAGAATCTGATTGTTCTCAATGAAGGCTTCCCTGATCCTGCTGAAGATCCACTCCATCGTCCTCCATGTGGTTACGTGCTTTTGGGACAGTCTAGATCGGTTCCGTTCATCATGATACTCGGCCAAGACGTGACTTCCCCACAGCTCCAACCTTTGATGTTCAAGCAGTAGTCCCATGCGCAAGTCTTCATACTCGGATGGTACATCTTTAATCTCAAGGTACAAATCGTAAGCTGACATAACCGCATTGTATGCCTGTATAACGCTTCCCACCACCCCTGCAATCCCCAAAGTCAAGCTCACCGGGTCACTCATATTTGCAGGACCGAGATGACTTTGGATCCTCCGCCAGCTATCCTGATAGTGATGCACTTGCTGTTGGTCTATAGATATAAAGTATTGAGAGTCTGGTTCTATCTGAAACAAGTGTGTAGGCTTTGATCACATATGATAGGCAACGGGTAATTCAAGGGTAACATGGCAAATATTTTTCAAATGCAGACAAGGAGCTACCTATAACATGACCCGAGTTTTCAGCCCCAATCCGCAAGATTGGCAACCAGGGTACCTCTAGGCTCTAGCAGCCCTCGGAGCTCTAAAGATACCCGTGACGACAGACGCATGCCCGTAGCACGGACAGACGACGCATGTAAGATGATTTTGATGTGGAATGACTTCAGATTGGATGTTGCCTGGGGGCTAGAACCCAAGGCTGGCAGTGGGGCTCAATGAAGACACGGTGGAGGAAGGGGAAAGAATCAAGAGGCTGACGCTGAGCTGGTGCTGCATGGGTTTTGGTTCACCGTGAGCAAGGTAGGGCATGCGCAGTCATGTCAAACGAATGAGAGGGCATTAAGTCAGGTGATGCGAGGTGATAGGAGAGAGAGAGGTGGCAGATGCGGGGTTTCCAATATTGCGCCATTGCGCCCAGTTTGTATGCTACTTTACTCTACTTCTGCTGCTGCCGTCTGGACCCGGCAGGACTTGAACATCCGCTGCCAGGTCTTGCAGCAGTGCGGATTCGCTTGCGGTAGCTCGCTTGATTTGACGAATTACATCCGTTCGCCAAGACATCTTAAGCCATAGATAGTATAGCGTAGAATTGACTTTCTCATCGAGCCAATGCCTCGTAAGTAAGTCATGATGAGTAATGCATGATGCCTCGTTTTTGCACAGCAGCACAGCATCAGCACAGCCTTGTCTTCTCCCCACTCCTTCCTAAAGTAGGTATGTGAGAAACGCCAACGGGCCAGGTCTTGGCATGTATGGCCTTGTCATGCCTGCAGCAAGCTGAAGCCTCAGGGTAATGAAGACTCCCTTCGCAACGTGACAACTGACCTTCTCAATTCTCTACTTTGCTTTCACTATCTCTCCTCCACGACAATCCGACCCGCTGTCAACATGGACATCGAGACATTCACTTACTCGACCGTCTTCCCCGTTCGATCCCGGCGGAAGTCAAGTATAGTAGCTGGCGCAACACTTCATTCCGCTATCTATCCAACCTCTGCGACTATGTTACAGGATAGCTTGATCTCATTCCTCTCCTACATCAAGACCCAGAACATTCCCATCCTCCCCGTCACCAAGCCTGATATCCGTTCGGTCTTAGGCCAGGGCGCTTCCTTTCTGGTCAATGGCGCCGAGGTACCCGAGGCCTACGTGGATCCTGTCTCGGGCACTGTCTTTCCGCAGGGCATGACGGTGGCTTTCAAACGTGCTATATTGAACCAAGCAGTGATGAAAGACCCAATCGCTGGTCGTATCCACGTCATCCTCAATGAGCTGCTTACCATGCATCATCCACCGCTACGTGCACACCCAAACATTGTCAAGCTTCTTGGCATTGGATTCGAGACCGAAGGGCCTAGTGACGACCAGAGAGCAATGCCGGTTCTGATACCCGAATGCGCTGAGCTTGGCAATCTGGCAGAAGTCTTAGAGACCGCCAGGAAAGAAGATAGGCCCTTGAAGTTCGGAGAGAAGTTGTCATTATGTCTCGATATTGCGCACGGTCTTGAGATACTTCATGCATGCGGTCAGCAGATTTTATAAGTACTGATTTTGAAATGTTTTTGCCTGTCATATTGAGCGAAGCCTGCGTCCTGTTCTGCACAACCTCTCAGCTTTTGGAATCGTGACTATTACTGTTGTGAGGATTGTCAAGATTTAGACAACCCATCCGGCCCCCCTGCCTGTTCTTCCCGCATGCGGATTGATTTCTCCGAGTGCGAGATCTCATGCTGACTAGCTCAATCGCAAGACATCGTACACGGAGACGTCAAATGTGAAAATGTCTTAATATTTGAGGAGCGTGATGACTCCGAACGTGAGTCCAACCCTTCATGTCCATGGCGAGATGTCTAAATATGCTTTTCAGATCTTAAGCTACTTGGGAAATTGACAGACTTTGGTGTCTTGAGGCTTGAAGATGGTGGCTTGATGCTGGGCGGCAGTCGCCCATGGCAAGCGCCTGAATTCTCTCGAACGGCCTACTTCAAGATTGAAGAGGCAAAGCGGACGGACGTTTATAGCTTCGGTATGCTACTCTGGCGTGTCTTCCTCAACGGTGATCCTTTCAAGTCTCTAGGAGATATTGAAGGCAAGACCCCAAAGGAGAAACGGCAATCCCGAAACGATGCCATAGCCGCTTTAAAAGATGGAGACCATTTGGTACAACACGTCTGCGCTTCTCTCGCACTGTCCGAAGATTTCACGCGTTCGCAGCTCGAAATGCTTTGTGAGGTCATTGGTACTACTTTAGTAAAAGACCCATCCCGTCGAGAGCTCGATATGGCAAGAATAATAAGACTATTGTCTCCTAAAAACTGGTATGAAGCGAGGCATCCCGTCCCACCAAAACGTCTTCCTCTCGAGGTCGACGCCCATCTACTTGACATGGAGAAATGGCACTCGGAATTCGAACGAGTCAGTCCCGTGGTACAGACTCTTATGGCTCTAGGCTTTCAGGACTGTGCTCAAGGCCCATCTGAACATTCGGAGGTGGATTTGCTTGAAGAGGAGAGCGCAGCTGCATACCAGCTGGCAATCTGTTACGCGAACGGATTCGGTGTCCATTTCGAACCCGGAGAGTGCTTAAAATGGCTCCAGGTTGCGGCTGATGGTGGGTCACAAAAGGCGCAAGAAGCACTCCCTAAGGTGGCACAAGCGTTTCAAGCACATTCGACAAATTTCACCGATCCTTGGGCTAAGTCTGATGATACCTGCTCACTTCTTAGCTCCTCATGGGCGTCTGAGTTTCCCGACACAACCACCCCTGCTACCGAGGCAGATGGCATCATATCCCTACGTTTGAATGACGGTACCGCCTTACCTGGCGCCACATGGACTCTACTGAATGCCGCAGAAAGATGCAGGTATGATGTCCTCGAATCGTTACTGATGAGCTCCGCCAAGCCTAGTACCTCGGAGGATGGCGTTTCCCCCATTCATTTCCTCTCGTCCTGGGATGTCAGCAAAGCGGAAGGACTGGGACACAGATTGATTATGGCCGGCGCAGAAGTCAACGTCCAAGCAAAGCGTGGCCCCACTGTGGGTGGCACTCCGCTGATGTGGTCCGTCTATGGAGACCATGTCGAGCATTCGCAGATCTTGCTCAATCTTGGTGCTGACCCAATGGCTGCAACCGTCGACGGTGATGATGCTCTTTCATTCGCTGCAAAATTACATCTTACCGCCCATCTACGATTGTTGCTGGAAAATGTGCGCCCATCTCAGGTGCGTGGTCATCTACGCCGACTGATTGCGGCCGCAGCTGGGGGCGAGAGTCGATTTACTCGGATTTTAAGGCACGGAAGAAGTTGGACAACAGCTGCTACGGAAACGCTACAACTGTTACGGGATTGGAACGCCCTTTTCCCTGACGCAGAAGATTTTAGAAGTCTTGTGCTACCGGCGCTCGAATCTGGTCTAAAAACTTCTCATGGTCGCATGAATACTGACATACAGGTTGACTTTATCAAGTCGGCTAAAATAGAACCACTCTACATGCACAACCTCTTGCGTCAGAGCGTACTGAGCTTCAACAAGGAGCTCTTCGACGCTGTTCTTGATTATGGTGTGCCAGTATCCACCCTCTTCGAGCGGAAGAAAGGTCTACTGCATCTTTGTGCAAAGATTCCAGATCATAGCGTTGCGGCTACAGAGTTCGCTCCCCGTCTTTTGGACTTGGGCGCGGCAATCGATGCAACGGACGAGGATGGCATCACTCCATGGATGCATGCGATTCTCGAGCGCAAGTGGGATCTGGCGGATCTACTAATGAAGAGGGGTGCAAATGCTCTAGCCACCGACAAGGCTGGCTTCAACGTTCTTGGTCTTTGCATCACTTCTCTCAACCTGGGAGCTATCAAGTACCTCATGAAGTACTGTGAACAAAAACAAAAGTTCCAACAGGATTCCTTCTTGATTAACAAAGAGAAGCAAATCAGCGCACTCCAATTAGCTTCCACTTTAATCCCACCGCGTGCGCACGGCATGAAATTGGAAGTTGTCGGCGTCTTCCTGACCATCTTAACAAACTTTGCTGTCGAACCTTGGCAATTGAACTTCCGCTCGGACGGCCTGCTACCCGATGCATCAGCACTCGATATTGCAGCTTCAAAGGGCAATGTGCACGCCGTCAAGAACTTGGTCAAAAAGGGAGCACATCTGGCGGGAGGAAGCCGTGCATCGGGTTGGGCACAGGCCAAGCTGTCCACCACGACTGACTTTATGCAACGGAAGGATCTGGAACGCTGCACATTCATCATAGAGAACTGGGACGACAAGCACAAACAGACACGGAGACTAGCGGACGACTGGACAAATATGCGTACGATAGACGAGTCACGCGTCGCTTCGAGTTGGGATATCTTGGTCTTCGATTATGCCAAGCGAGACAACATAAAAAAAGCCCCGTCAACAACGGAGGAGGCTTGAACTATCCTACTTAGCCCAGATCACCTACGCATAGCTTCCACACAACACCATAACGTCAAGCATGTTTGCGTTTTCTTGTCTCAAGCGCAGGGTGTGCGTACTGCGAATTGTAAAGAGGCGTCGGAGCGTCTGATGAGACAATGAATGGAGCCAGTGCATGAACGACCAATTTTTCATATATGTTCTTGCACAAGCGTATGCGGAGATATCCAGGCTGTTGTGGCGTTCTTTACGTATCAAAGCAGACGAATATATTCGCTTGACGTCTTGACTCTGAGCCAGAATAACCCCAAGAGTAGGGCAGACATCCATCATACAGCCAATGGAGCATCGGTTTTCAGGGAAAAGAGACATTTTGTAGAGGACCAACGCCAAGCAAACACTCCTCTCCATAGGTAGGTATGTTCTAGTCGCCAGCCACACAAGGCTTGGGAAGATGTTCGACGACCAAGCTGCCTTTATCCAACCCATGCAATCTGGTGTCTCTCACCTTGCCCAGACGACCAACTGTTCATCCTCGGGTTTTAGAGCTCTCTCTACAAACGTTTACAGCCGGCGCATTGTGCGAGATTTCAAGCCGAGGATGCATCCAGTATACTAATGAGCATCTTTGCAGTCAATAATATACAGTAGTGGAGTGGGCGATTCGATTGGTTTCATAGACCTATATTATAGGGGGGCATATCAGATGTTCTGATCCCGACCGTATGACCTTCCAGCACCTGACGTTCACCTTTGCATACATGGATCGCCAGGAGGCAAAACCTCTCATGCCTGCGGGGCCTGTAGGCATGGCAATCTTCGCATCCCGCCCGAAACTCCGGGCTGCGTCCCACACGGCGGGCCAACATCTCGACCCCCAATGTTCTCCAGGCGATCTGCGCATCCGACGCCTCTTGTGTGCCTCGTACATGGTGGTTCGTGTTTGTACTCCTCGGTACTGGATGTGTAAAAGCTGGGGCTGCTAGCGGCGGACGCCCGGTAGTCGTAATCCTGGTGCACGTCGCCATGATTAGACAGGACCCCTTGCTCGACGCATTTGTACTGGGACCGATGAGATGCAAGCTCGTTTCCGTTGTGTGGCATCGCATCCTCCACATTCTTCGGCATCGGCATGCGTTTTCCCTTTGTGCTCGTCGATGCATCAATGCCATGGCCACTTCGACGGGCCCTCCCGTCATTCCGACCGTTGGAAATGGTCATGGGGGCTTGCATCATACCGACTGCACCAGGCCACCCTTTTCCTTGGGGATACTGAGTAACGACTTCGCGACGGCTGGATTCGGTCAAGTCTCGCATGGTCCGGTCTGGGAATCTTTGTCGAAACGCGACACCTCCCCCGAAGCCGGAGTATCGCGTGAAGTCCGCGTCGCCTGTGAAAGACATCGAATGGGGTTCATTATTCGGATCAACCAGGTTTCCGAATTTCGGCGGCCAATCTCGCTGTCCCCTAAAATTATTCGCCATGACGCGAGTAAAGATGTGAAAGCAGTAGGTAAAGCAGCCTTGGTAGCCTACTTTAAGGTTGTTCGGTAATATGAAGTTGAGTAAAGAGGTCAATGATTGTAACCACCACATGCTCAGTGAAAAAGGAAGTGGGGAGACCTGAGACCCAATTAGGCTTTACGAGTGGGCTTTGAATCGCCTAGAATGGAGGTGTGCGACGAGCAAATCTCGTCGCCTTAGATCGCCTTGATACTAGCAGAGTGCCCTTCAAGTCGAGGTGGGGTAATTCAGGGCATCAGATCGGTGTCCACTCCTTGCTCTCGCTCCTGTGTCATGATGAGGAGAGGGATAAGCCAAGACACTGCTTCAGATCAAGCCGCCAGTCAATCAAGAAAAGCCCAAATGCTGGCTTCAAGGGCCGAATGGTCGAGCAGGGACGCAACGGACCTAAAGAGCTACTCGATATGATGCCTGCTCTTCGACACCACACAATGCAAGGCGCCGGCGTTAACAACGGCGTTAACTTCAAGAATCCCATAGGCTCTTCTGATCTCTATCTTACGATTAGGATGGCCGGTGCCGGATGTCCCTAGGTTCCGGGGTGTAGCGACACGTGAATGAGCACCTGACTGGGGCTGGTGACAGGGTTTCTTGCGCGACCTCGAGGAGCCTGCCAACCAAGCCGACTTCATGGGACGTCCAGTACCAAACCAGCAGAATACCCCCTTCTATATCATTTTTCGATTCCTCGTCGGCTTTGTCTCTCCCTCTCTAATCGCATCGAATCCAACTCAGACTCAGTCCGAGGCTTGCGGAGATCCGCACGTACTCGAGCAAATTCCTCTTGATGTCTGAACTCCAGTTTCCGCGTCCTGCCGCCGTTTGCGCTCTTCATGAGCACGTTGCTCCAGGCGCTCATGATATCGCCGGAGGAGTAGTGGGCCGGATAGTGTGGTCAGGTTCACTGCAACGAATACCCTACGTCACGCGGGCTCTGGTATGAATGCCAAATTGACTGCGTGGCTTACCCAGCCTAGGACGGGTCCTGGTGTCCACGGCGTGATATGTGGGAAGGCTTGGGGAGATAATCAAGAGGGGTTTGAAGAAGTCGAGGAAAGGAAGCAGATGAAAAATTGCGAGGTCGTCCGATAACAATGTACATTTTAGACAACGAATATTTGAGCTGCGAACGAGGAAACGAAAAGTGCTCAGAGTGTTGGTTTTGAGGTAATTTGCACTACCACTTTGCGTGCATTTGAGGCGTCGGGAAGACTGAGATTTTCCCTCTTGGTCACGAAATTCGTTAGGGGCAAAGGGGAAATCTCTGGCACATGGGCGTATATACTCGAGGTCCTTGCCCACCTGAATGTATCCAGTACGCAGTCCAGTCACATAGCCCTAGCCCTGATATCTTATTTTCAACATATAACCGGATCTAGAAATGGTACAAGTAGTTGCCGAAGACTTTGACTAGGCTTGGTGTGCATCCCACGATACCTATGCACCTATCAACCGATCGATCGATCAATCAATCAAGCTACTCCTAAAAACAATTTTTATGGTACGTTAGTGGGTAGAAGGAAGGATTTGAGCCATGTCAAGTACACACTATACTACATTTGAGCTAGTCGCTCCCGCCGTCTTCTTGCCGCTCCGCATGCCGCTTCAACTTTTTACCGTACACTTTCAAGCATGCAATGTCCTTCCGCAAACGAAATGTAGGGCTCGCCGGCCCCTCCTCTGCGCCTCCTTCCCCCAAGGACTCTCCCGTCACTCATGCCAGTGTGCCCGGAGTGCGCCCATCTCCCCTGGACGGCCGTCCCACAACCTCGACCGGCACCCAAACCCTCGATGACCTCCTCGCCGGTCACGCAGGCCTTGCCCTCGGCAACTCGTTGCTGGTTGAGGAAAACGGCACCACGGACTTTGCGGGGGCCTTGCTGCGGTATTACGCCGCCGAGGGGGTGGTCCAAGGACATACGGTGCATGTTGTGGGCGTAGGGGAGCAATGGAGTAAGGAGCTGCCTGGGCTTGTGGGAGGTGGTGGTGCGGTTGGTAAGGAGAGTGGATCCGGTGTTGGGGTTGATCAAGAGAAGATGAAGATTGCGTGGAGGTATGAGAGGTTGGGGGAGTTTGGGACCGGGACTGCTGGGTCAAGAGGTGGGATTGCTCTACTTCTGTCTTGCTTCATGATGTACATAGAAAATGTTCAATTGTTGAGGCTATTGGCATGATGAGTTGAGAATCTTATTACTAACGTCCACAGCGACACCAGCGCCCAATCGCAACCCAGTACCATCAAGCCCAGGCCAATCCGACTCCACGGTCACAATTCCGTTTTGTCACAGCTTCGACTTGACCAAACGCCTCTCGCTCCCAACTTCTGGCACCATCAACTTCACCGCCATTTCTCCCACCGCGGAGAATCCGTTCGCTTCCATTCTCCAACCTGTTACCCTGGCAATCGCTTCCTCTCCTCCCAACACCATCCACCGCCTGATAATTCCCACTCTCCTCTCTCCAGCTCTTTTCCCGCCTTCGGCCAGCCATCCCAGGCACCTCCTACCCTTCCTACATTCCCTTCGCGCTCTCCTTCGCCACCACTCCACCCGCCTGAGTGCCATGCTCACCCTCCCACTCTCGCTGTATCCACGCTCGACAGGCCTTGTCCGCTGGATCGAGCATCTGTGTGACGGCGTGCTCGAACTGGCCCCCTTCCCTCACTCGATCGATGTCGAGCCGCCGTTGACCACGAGCTCCGGTTCTGGCAAGGCTGAGGAGAAGCCGCAAGGAATGCTGAAGATCCATAAATTGCCCGTGCTGACCGAAAAAGGGGGAGGTGGCGGTGGAGGTGACGACTTGGCGTTTTCGTTGAATAGGAAGAGATTTGTGATCAAGCCGTTCAGTCTACCGCCCGTTGAAGGAGACCAGGAGGCGCAGAGGGGAGAAGCGGAGGGTGGGAAGGTGGGAAAGGGGGATATTGAATTCTAAAGGTTGGTTGAAGATGTATCATCCGCGGTTTCTAGGGCTTGGAAATAAGCTTTGCTAATGAATAAAGGTCATTTTGGACGCCACTGTGGCCCCCAAGCCCACTCGAGTTCAAAGATGTTGCTGTGGTCAATGCCAGGTTAAAGGGAAGCATTTGTTCGTATGCAACGTCGCAGTTTGTGATGGCGCTTCAACACCAATCTACACGAACCTCGTGGTTGAGACTTTCGATCATAGTCCCGTCGAACGTGAACAGCAGACAGGTAGCAGTCCCTTCACATGTGGAACGTGGCTGTGGGAATGGTGATTGCGCTGAAGGTATGCGGGGAGTTCAACGGTTGGACAGCGGTCTTGAGTGTGTGAGTCTGCGTTTAGCCATGATTTGAGCAAGTTCAAAGTTTATTGCAATTAAACTGAGATGATTTACAGGATTACCTTCCTCCAAAATACTCGAACTTTGGGCAAGGGCGCCCATAAAGGGCGTTTCGTTCCTGTTTCCCTTTGAGAACGCCAGTTTCACATCTGTCCTGATCCCCAAATTTTCTTCCACCACCACCATCCCACCATCCACAACCGTTACTAAAGCCGACTATCGCAATTATTCAGACCATTCCAACTTTCCTCAGGCGCTCAACGAAATTCAGCCTTCCACCACAGCAACCCGACTTCATGACCACCCAGAACACGACTGGAGATGAGCTTTCCCGTCAGACTTCATCAGCGAAAAGTCCTCAGCCCAACAATAAAGTCTTCCCCTTCCTCGACCTCCCGGCAGAAATCCGCCTCCTGATCTACCAACCCATCCTCCCCCAAAAAGTCAGAGTGAAACCCGTGAGCCCTTTCCTCTCGACCCTCGGATCCCGCAACGACCGCCTCGCCCTCCTCCGGACGTGCCGCCAACTCCGCCACGAAGCCCGCCCCCAGCTCTTCAGCGACGGCACCGTCACGTTCGACTGCCACGACGAAGTCTGCGCGCGCTGCTTCCTCGGTTGGATCGACGGCGTCGGCGACGGACCCGTGTCGAGGCTGAAGCGCTTCGACATCGTCGCCGTGGACGGGGAGCGCGTCGTCAGGGCTACGGTTCGGGCCGCGGAAGCCGGCGCCGTCGTCACGGGTGCTGCGGTTGGGGTTTTCCGGGGGGGAGGAAATGTGTCGCCGACGCGCGGACGGCGCGGTGTGTTGCGTGGTTTGAATACGAGGGAGTGGACGGGGTCTTTCTCCGTGGCAGATGTGAAAACGATTGTCTATGCTGTTGGAGGGTGTATGGGAATCCGCGATTTGCAACTAGGCTGGCCGGGTCAAGGGAGATTTCTGGGCTTGGTGAATTTCCGGAGCTGGTTTTTCTAGCTGTTTGAGTGTCGAATATCAGGCGTTCTTCTTCTCGGCCCTCTCGGAGATACATTCCATGCCATCTTCCCCTGCCCACCCCACCCCTCCTAAGTTTCCCTTCACTCAACCCAGACCTCGACAGACACAAACCAGCGTCACACGCCCCGCAGCCGCGTTCCTCTCCTCTCTTCCTCCCCCTGACCCACGTATCCTCCGCCTCCCCTCCCTCTGCGTCACTCCACTCCACTCCACAACCCCCCCGCCCGGGCATCTTCACCTCTCCCTCGAATACCGACGTCTATATTCCATTCCATTCCATTCCATCTCATTTCACCCTCCCCCCTTTTTCTTCTCGTCAACATAAACCAGACGAGATAGATAGATGGTCGAAAAAAATCTCAACGCCAACATCCTCATCCATGTGTGGGTTGAAACAATCTGCCTATCTGACATGGCCCGCAAGGATGAGTGAGCGGTTCGAAAGGACCCACCCCCCCCCCGGTCGAGGCGGAGATTCCTTCATTAGCCGTGGGGTTGGAAATGGGGTGGGTGGGGAGTTGTTGTCTAGGGGGTTGGTCGTGCGGTCGTCTAGTTCTTCGGGGGTTGATAGTTTAGAGGATAGTGGATATGATGGATTTGTGAGACGAGGACGTGTAGGAAATGGTTGTTGGGGGGGGGATAGAGATTATGTTGGGCACAGGGGGGATGAGTAGATGGATGGTGCTAGAGAGTGCTGTTGGCATTTTTAATGGCGGAAGGAAAAGTTCTGGAATCCGTGATTGAGAAGATGATGGGGTGTTTCCATCTCATTGGTGGGAGAAGGGGTGGACGGATAGTGGGTATCGATTTTTGGGAGCACTATGGAACAAACGCTCTCGACGGTAGCTGATACTGAGCAGAGTAGCAAGACTTCACCTCGTCAATGACACAGGTGTGGTGCGCCATTCATGGGTGTTGCCAATTTCCTCGCTCTCAACTGCTGAACGCCGGCTGAATAGCTAGCGAGTTCGATCCTTGTCTTTGTCCGCAACTCCTCTTACCTTTTCTCAGCAACATGAATCACTAAAATTCACGTTCTTCGTTCCTCGACTGAGATACCTAGCGGTAGTGTGGCATTTATTCGATCTACTCTTGCTTTCTGAACGGCTGCGAAGGAGTCTCAGCCTGACCATTCGACGGCTTAATCGGCTTGTTGCCCTCGACATAATCGAAGTGTCCAGCCAGGTCCATCAACCACACATCGCCCGGTCCCCTCGCGCCTCCAGGCTTCTGACTCAAGAAGTTCAAAGGGAAGCCAAGATCAAAAGGCGCAGCTCCATCGATCTCTGCCATATCCTCATCGCTCAGCTCCAAACCCAAGGCATCAATGTTGCCCTTCAGGTGCTCGATCTTCCGCCCACCCACAATCGGGAAGACGTATGGCGCCTTGTGCATGACATACGCAAGAGCGACCGACGTGATAGCCGTGCTCTTTCGGTCAGCAACCTTCTCCAGCGCATCTGTAAGCTTGATCTGATTCTCAGTAGGCGGAAACATGTTCCTGCCCTCTCCCTTCAACTCTTCCCTCTGCTTCTTCGTCTTGAAGTTTCCTGCACCGAGCGAACCCCATGGCGCGAGACCCATACCCTCGTCAGCGCACATTGGGATGATGTCGCGCTCGAAGTCACGGCTAGCGGCGCTCCATTGACCTTGGTAGACGACAAATTGGCGCAAGCCATGGTCGCGAGCATACTGGTTGGCTTTTGACACGATCCAAGCTGGAGTGTCGCTGACGCCGAGGTAGATAACTTTGCCCTGCTGGACAACGGTATTCAAGCTCTGCATGAGCTCGGGGATAGAGGTTGTAAAATCCCACCAGTGCACGTACAGCACATCAATATAGTCCGTCTTCAACTTGTGCAGAGAGTTTCTGAGAGAGACATGGAGGGATTTGCTACCGTTGCCTGCGGAGTTGCTGTGGATGATACCGTCGTGACCTTTGTAGCTGCTGAAGCTGGTGGTGTATTTGGTAGCGATGACCATTTGGTCGCGAATGCCAGGGTGTTTATGCATCCATTCGCCAATCCACATCTCGGATTGCTCGGATTGGTAGTTGTTGGCGGTGTCGATGAAGTTGCCGCCTTGATCGTGGAAGTAGTCGAGCAGCTCGAATACAGATTCCTTCGACACTGCTCCCATCATGCCAGCCCTGCGACAGATGTTGTTAGCGAGGGATTCAACATATCATTCGGAGATTGCTCCGCCTTCTTCCAAACAAGATGGGGAGCAAGCGAGTCTTCGTAGAATATAGATTGGGAACATGACCGGGGTGGCAGGGAGTTTTTTGGGGGAATTACCAGGCATCACCAAAATTCATGGCGCCTATACATAGCGGACTGACTTTGACAGCCGCAGAAGGGGAGAGCAGGCGGTGTCTGCCGAGAAGGGATTTTGGGGGCGGCGCTGGATCCATAATTGTGTTGCGGTATTCGACAAGGCGTATAATCTATAATCAGAGGCAGCAGAAATGTGAATCTGAAGTGGAAAACATTGACATTGAGCTGTTTAAGTACCGTCTCACATATACCCCGTTTTAATTCCGAAGCTAGTATACGATTACAGGGATTACTAATGGTTCACCGTGCTTACAAAGGCATTCTTGCAGTCCCCTGTCTCGGGTACGGGTAAGCTTCCTTCCGCTCCAGGGACCCGTCGAGTGAACTGGCCATTGTTTGAGTAGTACCTGGCACTATTTTGCACCAGGTGGTGTGGTGTGGCACAATTATGAACAATCTCACAATGAGCGTGATCAGTGGTGTGAGGTATTTCTCCAACCGTAATCATGAACTTTTGTGCGACAATCTATCATGTATAGTAAAGTCTATGTAAGAAGCTGGATAGCAATGTCAATTATGAACGCCGTAATATGGGGTATAGTCGAATGCAGAGATAAGTCGAATACAGGCGGTAGAATCCATAGCAAAGCCAAGCTTCCGCGGCGCCTCATGGATGGACTCCATACCAAAACATGTATCAATCACGAAAACCACACAAATCTTGAAACGCCGACGCCTCTCCCAGTAGCATGAGCTCGTAGCGTGGAACAATCGTGTAAACGGGCTGAAGAAGGGCAACAGAGGCCAGGTAGACTCAGAGTCCGAAGCCATGTGGTGGGCCATTGCCTCCATTGTCGGATGAGTTGTCTCCCTCAATGGTCTGTTTCCAATACTCCGGTAGACAAACGCAGACGAGCTAATCTTGGGTCAGCTAGGCTCCCAAGAAATGTCCTTGGGCAGTGCTTACTGGGAACGCCTTCAGCTCTCCGCTCGGTGGCGGAGATTCTCCCCTCCCCGATCCATTCGAGACACCACTATCTCGTTGGACCTTGTGCTTCCCATCGTAGTCCTCCGCTCGTTCCTTAATCCGGACACCAGTCGCCCAGCCATCATCCCAGATACCCACTACCTTGAGCATGTCGCCTCTCTCAAGCTCAAATTCATCTCCAGCACGCGGTGAATAAGCCCAAAGCGTGGCAACTTTGTCGTTGGGACTGATCTCGTCTTCCGAATAGTAGTCTTTGAAGAAGGGGAGTTGCTCTGATTGTCCGCTGGCGACGCCTTCTGGAGATGAGATTTGCCCCTCGGTGTTTGGAGAGCTTGGATCATCCATCGCCCCCAGAACCGATTGACTCGACAATGAACCGTTCCTCTTTCCTGTAGTTGGCGGACCGAATCCCCTTCGAGACTCTGGAGTTTCACCGTAGGCTTCGGACTCGGATGTGTCTGCATAACGCCTGTGGCTGCCTTCCGCAACACCGCCAATCACTGGATTTCCATATGATGGCGAGTCACTGATATTCCCTTCCAATGCAGACATCCTGGCAACGCGTCCTCCGGATTGTGGTCCATAGTCTGGTGGAAGCGCTTGCGTTGCAGGCGGTGGGGAAAAGACCATCCCAGCTCCATTTGTCCGCTGAGGTGTTGGTTGGTTGAAAATACTTGTTTGACTTCCTCTTCGCCGCCGGCGAAAAAATATGCAACATAGCAAGAGTAAGCCCGCCAACAAAATAGCCCCAATGACGGAGCCAACCACGATTCCAGCGATCGCGCCTTTTGACAAGCCTGAGTTATGATGGCTACTACTGCTTTTTGCACCGCTGCTTGCAGATGCTGACGGAGTACTGCTTGATGTTGATGATGGAAATAGTGGAGGCACGGAGGTAGAGGTTGGTAGCGTTACACCTGGACATCTGCTGTTCACGTTCGCTCCTTCGCAGCACGTATCTGTAGCATTTGGAGAGCTGGTCGCACAATAGCTGCAAAGACCTTGGAGATTGGTCGAAAAGCCACAATCGTTTGGCTCATTCTGTTCTGCGGTAATACAGGTCCCACTCAAAGAATTGCTAGGAAGGGCACAATTCGTGAAGTCGGCTCGTATCTGGTCCAAGTAGCCCGGTTGAGGGCTGTCGCAGAGCTGACTGTTGACTGCAATTTCCTCCTCACTGGTTGCTTGTTGAGCCTGTGAAGTCTTAGCAATGGCTCGTGTACAAAGAGGTGACCACTAACGCAGGATTCTGCGCAAAGTGGGGGCGAGTCGGCGCTGGAGAGTGTACACGGCTTTATCGAATTCTGCACAATAGCATTACATATTACACTAGTTGTATATCGTGCGTAAAGGTTGGTGGTATTCGTCAAATTGACATTGCCACAACCCAGCAAGTGCTGGTATCTGGATGGGTTGATCAGCCATATCCTTCAAGGACCTCCCCAAGCATCCAATGTACTTCTCTTGAACGTAGCTGGAATTAACGTATTGGCTCAATTGGGTATCGAACTGTTGTATACTCGAAACGAAAGCAAGGAAAGGGCTATGACGAGTCAGCTTCTGCGAACGTGTACAGGATATGCCGTAGCGTTGGGGTACTTACTACAACGAAGAAAGGGACGAGTCCGTGGAAAAGGAGGACGTATTGAAAGCCGGGCATTGGGTCGAGCCTTTTAGAGGGATGCAGCTCTGCGCTGCTGCGGCCGGTATTAACAACGCAAGGGCGGCGAGGAGAGCTGTCGAGGCGAGCGGCGCCATCTCCATTGCCCTGGCTGTCCCACCGCGCGAACTGAAAATTAACGAAGGCTTTCAGAACGCGCAATGGTGCTCGGAGAGGAGCTTCGAGCGCCCTCGCAACAATGTTCCTGGCTGCTAGGGGGAAGATTAATTCGGTAGGCTAATCTTAGAGCTGCATCTTACCGAAAGCTTATCATAATCCCTGATCCTGCACTAAGGTACCACCTATCTCAATTGGAACTCTCCATACCTACATTCTAACTGGGAGATATTTACTCTTGACCCACTGCGAGATAGTCATTGGTAAGTCAAGGTAGTCATTGGTGAGTCAACATAGTCTTTGTGAGTCATAATCCTTCGTAGATACTATGTCAAAGTTTTGCATCCTGATTACTTCCATCTCATAGAGAGAATGGACGAGGAAATTGCAGACAAAACTGCTGCTATAAATATGGGGCAAGTCGAAGAGCCAAGTAAAAACGCACTCAAGAAGGCAAACAAGCAAAAGAAACTGGCAGCAGAAAAAGCAAACAAGTCAGCCACAGATACAACCCCAGAAGCTGCCAGATCCGAGGCCAAGAAGGCAGTCAACAAAGCTCCCAAAAAGAAAATCGAAGGGGCTGCTTTGATCGGGTAAGTCTTCCAGCCTGTCAGGAAGGGAATCCTAACCAAGGAATGACTAGCATTGACATAGCGAAGGACGAGGACTTTTCAGACTGGTAAAAATTGCCCATTAGAAATCATATTCCAGTTACTAAGATTACAGGTATCAACAAACTCTCACCAAGGTACGTACTTTCGGAGTGAATTGTCCCACTTCATTACCGAGCTCGATTACACGGAACTTCTGGGAGTCAGAAGCAAGTCTTTAGTCTCGAGACATGTCTGCAAACTCGACATTTGACCTTACAGAGGGGATATTGACCCCGAGTTTTCAAAGGGTGATTTCCTCGACTACTACGATGTCTCCGGCTGCTACATCCTCAAGGTTCTCAGAATCCGGCCCCCTTACATGCGTGCCCGCTGACAGCTTCAAGCCCGCGTCGTGGTTCATCTGGGAGCAAATCCGAGACTGGTTTGACTTCAGGATTAAGAAAATCGGAGTCAGAAACTGCGCGTTTCCCTTGTTCGTATCAGAAGAAGTCCTTCAGAAAGAGAAGGCCCATATCGAAGGGTTTGCAGCGGAAGTTGCATGGGTGACACATGCGTAAGTCTACAAGATTTACATCGGCGATCTCGATCTTGCTCACTTTGTGACAGCGGGTCCGCAAAGCTTGACAAAAAGATCGCAATACGTCCAACATCAGAGACCGTCATGTATCCATACTATGCAAAATGGATACGGAGCCACCGAGACCTTCCTCTCCGCCTCAACCAATGGAACTCCGTTGTTCGCTGTGAGTATACCTCAGGTTCTTCCTCAAAGCAGGTGCACGGCTAATTTGGAGAACTTCAGGGGAATTTAAGAACCCAACGCCGTTCCTAAGGACGAGGGAGTTTCACTGGCAGGAAGGCCACACAGCTTACTTGAAGCAAGAAGACGCGCATAAAGAAGTTCTACAGATACTGGAATTCTACGCCGGTGTTTATGAAGAACTACTTGCTGTTCCAGTGGTTCGAGGTCGAAAGACTGACAAAGAGAAGTTTGCCGGTAGGTCTAGCAATTTCCCCCCCTCAGCTTAGAAAATTGGCGCCGACTCCGAGAATAGGGGGAGACTACACCACCACAGTCGAAGGCTACATTGCTGCGACCGGACGAGGGATTCAAGGAGGCACAAGCCATCATCTGGGACAGAACTTCAGCAAGATGTTTGGCATCTCGGTGGAGGATCCCTCCGCCAAAGAAGGTGAGAAGAAAGCTGCACTCAACGTCTTCCAGAATTCATGGGGTCTGAGTACAAGAGCGATCGGTGTGATGGTCATGACTCACGGAGACAACCGCGGTCTCGTTGTTCCTCCCCGTGTCTCCGAAATCCAAGTCGTCATCGTTCCTGTGGGCATTACAGCCAAGACGACCGAGGACGAAAGAATCTCTTTACACAAGCAGGTCGACGCTCTGGAGGAGATCTTGAAAGCCGAGGACATACGAGCCGAGGCCGACAAGCGGGGATACTCTCCAGGCTGGAAGTTCAACGACTGGGAGATGAGAGGTGTGCCCTTGCGCCTCGAGTTCGGACCCAAAGACTCGGCAGCTCATTGCGTCACCACCTCTCGCCGCGACATCGAAGGGAATGACGGCAAGGGTACAATCCAGATCACGGAGCTTGCCGCAGGGGTCAAATCTCTTTTGAGTTCCATTCAGAAAGACCTCTACAGCCGGGCCGACCAGGTGTATAAGGATCACACCAAGAAGATCACATCTTGGGACGATTTCGTGCCGGCACTGAACGACAAGAACGTCTGCCTCATTCCCCATTGCCTGACGGAGAAGTGCGAGGACGAGATCAAGGAGATGAGCGCGAGGGTGGACGGCGACGAGGTCGTTGATGAAAGGGCTCCGGCTATGGGGGTATGTACATTTACCGCTCTTACCTGCCAAAAAAGATTGCTGACTCCGAAACCATTTTAGGCGAAATCTCTGTGTATTCCTTTCGATCAGCCGGAGGGGATCGTGAAGGGGGAGACGAAGTGTACGAATCCCAACTGCAAAAATTTGGCGGAAAGCTTTTGTTTGTTTGGGAGAAGTTATTGAAGTATCGCTGCGAAGCTTGAGAGCTTTCCTTGAGCACCATGTATCTTAGCTGGTGTTTGATAATGAGAGAATGTATTGACAACGGCAAGCCCCAAGCACAGTGCACATTGAATTAGCTTTAGGTCAGAGGTAGGACCGGTTTCTCAACGAAGCAACCCTGGTATTCCCAGCTATTGACTATCCACGGAAATCTAATGACCATGCCCATCGTCCCCGCCCCCTCTCTGTTCTGGATCCAGCTTGATGAGCGTATCTATCCTCATGACGGCAATACATGCCTCCACCGCACTCTTCAGTTGCTTCACCTTACTCATACTCGGCTCCAACACGCCCGCCTTGATCTGATCTACCGCTTTGCCCCTCGTCAGATCCAACCCGTAGTTCTTGTAATTCTTGCGCTTCGCCATCGCTTTATCCTCCGCGCTCGGAGACTTTGAGCCTTTGGAGGGTGAAGAGGGAGGGGCAGGGGTATCTTGTATGCGTTGGGAGGTGGCGTGTAAGGAGCGGAGTTGCGCAACAAGGTCGGAAGAGTCTTTGGCGGCGTTCACGGCAAGGGTGCGGGGGATGATGAGGAGGGATTGGGCGAATTCGCCGATGGCGAGTTGTTCTCTTGAGCCGACTGTGACGGCGAATTCTTCTAGGTAGATGTGCAGTGCTGTTTCCACAGCGCCACCTCCGGGTACGATACTACCACTTTCCAGGGTGCGTTTGACGGCGGAGAGGGAGTCGTGCACCGAGCGCTCCATCTCGTCCAGTTGGTAGTCGTTCGAGCCGCGCAGGATGATCGAGGCAGATGTATGCACTTTGGTACCCTTGACGAGGATGCACTCGTCATCTGAGATGCGCTCTTGCACTACCTCTTCTGCATGACCCAAGGAAGCTGCTTCAAATTTCTCGTCGCCGTTGAGGTCCGAGAGAGAAGAGACAAGCGTAGCTCCTGTGGCTTTTGCTATTCTCCGCAAATCCTCTTTCTTGCATCGCCGCACAGCCATGGCACCTTTTTCAATGAATTGTTTGAGGACTAGGTCATCGATGCCCTTTGTAGTAAAGACAACATTGGCGCCGGCTTTGAGAATCATCTCGACACGTTCCATGACCATGCCGGCTTCACGTTTGCGGATTTGCTCCAGCTGTTGTGGGTCGTCAACTGTTATGTGGACGCCGAGTTTCATGCGCTCTTTCTGCAAGTTCATGTCCAGGCAGGCGATCTTGGCATCTGTTATTCGGGTCTTCATGGCTTGCGAGGCGACGGTGCAATTTAGAGCGTATCCTTTGACGAGCACCGACTCTGTAGAGCTCTTTCCGTGAGCTTTGAGGACATTCACAGCTTTCACAGGATATTTGGTTTCGTTGCGATTGTTGGTTGATTTCACGGATTGCATGGCGTCCACCACCATGTTTGAGAAGAATTTTGAATCTGAGCCGATGATCTTGCTTGACATCGAAGTCTTTGCTATGTTGATGAGGGATTCCCTGCCTAGGTTTTCGACCTTAGTGCTTATGTTCTCGTTCATGTATTTCACCGCTTCTCGAAGAGCCAGCCGGTAGCCTGTTATAATTGTAGTTGGATGTATTCGGTTCTTCATGAGCTCATTTGCTCGCCGTAGGAGTTCCGCAGCTATTATGACTACTGAAGTTGTTCCATCGCCAACCTAGTGGTGATCAGCGAATGATGCATGGTGTGGGTCTCGGATGACCAACCTCCTTGTCCTGCTGCTGTGCTAAATCCACGAGTATCTTCCCTGCAGGGTGCTCCACATCAAGAAGGCTCAGGATAGTTGCCCCATCGTTGGTCACTGTGACGTCCTAGGATCGCTCAGCGTGGAACGTCCGCAAAAGGCTTATTCAAGAGACCTACCCCAATGTCGTCCACCATCATTTTGTCTAGTCCCGAGGGACCAAACGAACTCTTTACTACATTGGCAATAGCTTGTGTAGCAAGGACTATGGTGGTGTCAGAGTCCGTTGACAGATACCCGAGGGAGTATTTACCATTTTGATCTCGAATATCTGCACCACTGATCTTTGTCCCACCGAGGACTGTTGACTCTCTGTCAGTCGCTGTGTTTCTCCGGCCAGGTGAAATCTTACTCACAAAGAGTACCCGCATTTCTAGGTTGCTCAAACATTCCTGCCATCTTATGAATATCCACTCAAATGGGAACAATCTTGGAAGTAGAAACGGTGGAATTGAGAATACTTTTTGATAAGGCTGGAAGCGGAACGCGACGCGCTTAGTTCCATAAGGCTGAAGCTATCGGCGTCAACGGTCACGCCGAGTTGGTCGGTCCTGCCTAACTAACCTATGGACCTGTGCAGATGAGCTTTAGGTAACCACCGCGCCCATGATCTGGAGTAACGCTCCCGTTATCAACGATAGATTCGCAACATCTCACATGATCTTCGATCAAGATCTAAGGTCCCTGCGGTGAGATCCCGCAAAGCTGGGACCATAATGCAGAAGCCGCCTATACTTCCTCTCCATAGGTGACAGTGCAAGGGACTTCGAGTATGGGACAGACATTCTCGCTGGCAACCCTTTCAGCGGGCTCCGCGGGGATCGATGTGCCAGAGTTGTCGGATCTTTCGTATGAAAAGTCGCTGGGAACGGCGCGATTCATGAAGAGTATCCGAGCCAGGCATCAACATGGTTTGGTGGTTGTCAAGCTGGTCATGAAACCATTTCCCCAGCTCGATCTCGGCCAGTACGTGAGAGCTATTCGGTGTGAGTAGGTGGCTCGTCAGCGATCTCGAAAACGAACGTCTTGCTGATACGGGTTTGCAGCAGAACGTGAAGCCCTCAACGATGTCCCAAATGCGCTCGGCTACCAGCGTATCTTCGAGACCAGTACGAATGGGTATTTGGTTCGACAGTACTTCTACAGCTCCTTGTACGACCGAATGAGGTGAGTTTGATCCTCACATTTGCCAATCAAAGTTCTGAGATGAACAGTACACGTCCATTCCTGGAGGACATCGAGAAGAAATGGCTTGCATACCAGCTTCTTTGCGCCTTAAGAGATTGCCATGCTCGTAACGTCTACCATGGGGATATCAAGACAGAGAACGTTCTGGTCACCTCGTGGAATTGGCTATACCTGACGGACTTCTCTTCCTCGTTCAAGAAGACATATCTCCCAGAGGACAACCCTGCGGATTTCTCCTATTACTTCGACACTTCAGGAAGGAGGACATGCTACCTTGCTCCAGAACGCTTTCTTGGGGCCGATGAAAAAGACGATGGGAGGGGGGTCACATGGGCCATGGATGTCTTCAGTGTCGGATGTGTTATTGCGGAGCTCTTCCTTGAAGCTCCCATATTCTCTTTAAGCCAACTCTACAAATACAGAAAAGGAGAGTACGATCCGAAATTCGGTTATCTGGGCAAAATCCAGGACCAAGAAGTGCGCGAGCTGGTCAGCCACATGATACAACTAGAGCCTGAGTCAAGGTTTTCCGCCGAAGAGTACCTTAAATTCTGGCGGCGCAAAGCCTTTCCTGAGTATTTTTATAGCTTTCTTCATCAATATATGGGATTGATCACGGACCCTTCATCAGGTCGTGCACCAGTTCTACCAAAGACCGCAAACTTTGGTGAAGCCGATGATAGAATCGACAGAGTATACTACGACTTTGACAAGATCTCTTACTTTCTCGGTTACGAAAATGAAAAGGCTCAAACAAATGCGAGATCTGATTCGGAAGCCTCTTCGGAAGGCCTCATTCCAGTACAGATTGACATACCGAACAACAGACACGAAGCTACTACAGTGGGAAGGCGCCCCGTCGATGATGGATCTCTTATTTTTCTTACGCTTGTAGTTTCCTCATTAAGAAACACTGCCCGATCCACTGCTAGGGTTCGCGCTTGTGATCTCATACTGGCCTTCGCCGAGAGGATCACGGATGAGGCGAAACTTGATCGGGTACTCCCCTATCTAGTAGCAATGCTGAACGATCGTGCCGACATTGTCAAGGTCGCTGCCATCCGGACCATGGCTCAACTGGTCAGAAACCCTCCTCCTATCAAACGCAAAGCTGACTTTCTCTAGCTATCTATGATCACAGTCGTATCACCCGTCAATGCATATGTGTTTACCGAGTATATCCGTCCTCGGTTACAGCAATTCATTGTAGGCGGCAGCAACAAGGCAAGCCCAATAGTTCGCGCGACTTACGCTTCTTGCCTTGCCTCCTTAGCACACACCTCCTCCAGCATTCTGGACATGTTACAGGCTCTTCGCGCAGATGGGTCAGTCCCTACCGTCGATCCAGAGGCCGAAGATGGCGTAGACACAAATTTGACTTATCAAAACTCATTCGATGTGGCGAGGCTGGACTTATTAGAACATTTTGAGGCACACACGAAGGCTCTATTGACTGACAGTGACACATCAGTCAGACGAGCCTTTCTAGGTTCCGTATCAAGTCTCTGCGTCTTCTTTGGTAGCTCAAAAACGAACGATGTCATCCTCAGCCATCTCAACACATACTTGAATGACAAGGACTGGATCCTGAAATGTGCCTTTTTCCAAACGATCGTTGGAGTTGCCACCTTTGTTGGTGGCACAAGTCTTGAGGAATTCATCTTGCCTCTCATGATACAAGCTTTGACTGACCCAGAGGAATTCGTGGTCGAGAAAGTGCTCTCCTCTTTTGCGAGTATGGCGGAATTAGGTTTGTTCCAACGATCCAAGACCTGGGAGATGGTAGACATAGTTGCACGGTTCATGGTGCATCCCAACATTTGGATCCGAGAAGCGGCTGCACATTTCGTCTCGTCCTCAACGCGATATTTGTCCATAGCAGATCTCCACTGCATTGTTTCCCCACTCGTACAGCCATATCTCAAATCATCCATTACCGACTTCTCGGAAACCAGTATACTCGATAATCTCAGAAGACCCTTGCCTCGACCTATCCTCGAGATGGCCGTGAGCTGGGCCTTAAAGGTCGAGGGAGGACTCTTTTGGAAGCCTGTCCAGCAGCAAAGGACCTTC